CCAGTCACCCCCACAACCACACTCCCCTCCTATAGCTGGGAATAGAATCCAGGAGTCCTGACTCCCAGTCACGCCTGCTCTAACCACTGGACACTCTCTTTCCTATGTGTCCGTACAGCACCTGTCACAACCGGGCTCCAGTCTCTAGGGGCGGCAGTAGAAATGTTAAGCAGACCCTCTGCCTCATTCATTCCTCCCCCTAGGCCTAGCGTCTCTGCCCATCCACCGACCCCACTCAAACGTGGCCCAGAGGGGCTTGAGGGGCAGAGCTCGCCAGCCCTGATGTACCGGTCCCTCTTCCCCTGCCCTCAAGGCCTGCGGTCCATTTTGTGGTGAGCGTCTCCATGGGAGAGACTTTATTAGAGCCCGAGACACAGAGAGGAAACCGGCAGCTCTGCCGCCCAGGGAGCAGTCATGACCTGCAGCCACATGCCTCAGTTCTCAGTGACACTCAGGCCACACCGGGCCCCTCTGGCAGAGTCAAAGGGCTTAAGATGGGTGGAAACAGCTTCCTGAGAATGGCCCTGCCAGGGGTCTCCCTGATCAGTGCGGGGCTGGCACAAGGGCTCTTGCACCCAACCCCAAGACAGGGGATTGCTGGGGGTGTGGCCAGGGCACACTGCACTATGGGTATTCTCTGTTTGCTGGGAGTCATGGGACGCAGAGTGCAAGATAGAGCAGCCACAGCGCTGCTCTAACTTACACCACGGCTTGAGCCGACCCACCCACAGCCTCAAAGTAAAGGAAGGACAAAGGTAGATTAAAGCCACCTGAACACTCCTCCATCCAGGCCCCATGCACAGGAAAGGAGTAACTGAGAATCAGCCCCAGAAACGGAATCAGCTCCAGACGTGTCAATCGAATCATCTCCCATTCATTCTCCCGTCCTCAGCCCTCGCAGGGCTCAGTGGCTCCTGAGAGCATCTCCCATTCCGCTGACACTCCGCTCCCGCCTCGCTGCAGGGACGTGGCACGAAAGGCAGCGCCCGCCCCCTCCCTGCTGTGCTCTGGGTCCCTTTGAAAAGCCTCTACCCACCTCCACAAAGTAGAAGCACGGAAGGAGTGTCATGCTATCCTTGGGGGCCTTGGACTTCTCTTTCGTGGAGATCATGGTGTCGGCTCAGGGGGCAAGCGATGGGGGCTCGCCTGGGTCAGTCTAGACAACGAGACACACGGCAAGTGTTAGTTTAGTGGCACTCAAGGGGAAGTGGGGAGGGGGCAGGAGTGCTGTCTGTGGGGGGAAGATCATAGTTACTCCAGGACCAACCCAGCACTGGAGTGAGTAGGGCAGGAGCGCTGACTGGGGTGGGGGACTCCCGGCAACTCCAGTCCCAGCCTCTGACAGCAGGAGGCACTGGAGGGAATGGAGCATGAATGCTGGCTGTATGGAAGGATCCAGCCACCTCATACCCAGCCTCTCCCGCATTGCCCTCCTGTCCGGGCTCTGCATTCATAAACTATTTCATTCCCCTTCCCGCTTACCCCTTGTCTCATGCCTGTCCTGCCCACACACACACCCCCAGCCTGTGGCAATGACACATACGCCCCGCTTTCTTTCCCTAGGCTAAGCGCTGTCAGTGTGATTCCCCAGCCCAGGGTTGGTCTGCCCAGCCTGGGGGAGTTGTGTTCTGTAACAGACCGGAGGTGGGACAGGGGTGGGGAGGGGAGTCATGTGGCAATCGATGGGCGAGGGGGAAGGACCCCGGCGTGGGGCTGACGTGGGATTTAAACGGCTCACTCTGGGGATGCTGGAAAAGGAGAGTGAAGGTGTGAGGGGTAAAAAGCCGGGCGGCAAGCGGGCAGGGCGGGGTGATTACTAGAGAAAGGGGAAAAACAAGGGGTGCCTTGACTCCATCATCCCGGCCCGAGGAAGGGGGGCTGGGGGGAAGCCCAGGGCCTGGCTGGGGTCTCAGCTGCAGATCTTGCTGCACCTGTTGGCAGGGGGTCCTGCTTTGCCCATTCTCCAGATCCCTGCAAGACACTGATGCTGCAGCAGGTTGCAGCTGGGCCAGGCTATTGTATTCAAAATGCCAGCGGGGGTGGGGGTGGGGGGGGTTGCAGGTGGGGTCTGAGTCCCCTCCCCTTGCTCCCCAACCCTGCCAGAGCCCGGCGGGGCAGGGCCCAGGCTCCTACCTGCAGCCCGTGGGCTATACGCGCGAGGGGCGCCCCCTAGCGCCCCCCCCCATCGTGCCAGCCCCAGCCCCGGATCCCACGGAACAAAA